CAGTCCCCCGTCCTCGGCCCTGGGGGGGGGGTTGGTCATTAAAGCCCTGAAATTCATCCCTCTGACGTGCCCCACCCCAAAAAAAAAAGAGGCAGGAAAAGGTGCCCAAAAGAACCCCCAGGAGAAACCGAGGGAGTTTAACCCCGGGGAGGGGGGGGGGGCGTTCAGCCCTGGCACCCGTTTAATAAAGGGTTAAACCTTCCCGGGATGAATTCCTCCTTAAATTGAATTCCTCCTTAAATCACAGCCCAGTCCTGGTGGAAAAAAAAACCCCAACCCCACCCCACCCCAGGCTCCTCCGGTTACACCCACAAAAAGCTCTTTATCCCATTTCTGTCCCCTCCCCTTCACCGCTCTGGGTCCTAACGAGCTCCCTCAGCTTAATTACTCCCCAGGAAAGAAAATAAAACCCGGCAAATTTCACAACCTTTGGGCCCTGTGGTGGTGGGGCAGCGGCTGTTGGAGGGCACGGCCTAACCCCCAGCTGGTGGGGGGGTCAGTGACCCACACCCCCCACCCCAAAGGGGGGAACAGGAAGGGGAAGGACCCAGCCCCAAAAAGGATCCATCCCTGAGAAGGGAAAAGGATCCACCCCAAGGAGGGGAAGGACCAATCCCCCAGGAAGGAAAGGGATCTGCCCCAGGGAGGGGAAGGACCCAGCCCCCCAGGGAGGGGAAGGACCCACCCCAAAGAGGGAAGGGATCCATCCTAAGGAGGGGAAGGACCCAGCCCTGGGGAGGGGAAGGATCAACCCCAAAGAGGGAAGGGATCCATCCCAGGGAGGGGAAGGGATCCACCACAAGGAGGGGAAGGACCCATCCCCAGGGAGGGGAAGGGATCCAGCCCTGAAAAGGATCCACCCCTGAGAAGGGGAAAGGATCCACTCCAAGGAGGGGAAGGACCCAGCCCCCCAGGGAGGGGAAGGACCCAGCCCTAAGGAGGGGAAGGACCCAGCCCCAAAAAGGATCCATCCCTGAGAAGGGGAAAGGATCCACCCCAAGGAGGGGAAGGACCAATCCCCCAGGAAGGAAAGGGATCTGCCCCAGGGAGGGGAAGGGATCCACCCCAGGGAGGGGAAGGACCCAGCCCCAAAAAGGATCCACCCCTGAGAAAGGGAAGGGATCCATCCCAGGGAGGGGAAGGACCCAGCCCTAAGGAGGGAAGGGATCCACCCCAAAGAGGGGAAGGACCCAGCCCCAAGGAGGGGAAGGATCCACCCCAAAGAGGGGAAGGACCCAGCCCCAAGGAGGGGAAGGATCCACCCCAAAGAGGGGAAGGACCCAGCCCCAAAAAGGATCTACCCCTGAGAAGGGGAAGGACCCATCCCAGGGAGGGGACGGGATCCATCCCAGGGAGGGGAAGGACCCAGCCCTGGAGAAGGGGAAGGGATCCACCCCAGGGAGGGGAAGGACCCATTCCCAAAAAGGATCCACCCCTGAGAAGGGGATGGGACCCATCCCAGGGAGGGGAAGGACCCAGCCCTGGAGAAGGGGAAGGACCCATCCTTGGGGAGGGGACGGGATCCACCCCAGGGAGGAGAAGGACCCACCCACAAACCAAAAGCCCCCCCATCCCTCCAGCCCCAGGAACCTGCGGGGCCCAGAGACTTCTCCTCTGGGTGTTTTAATGTTTTGGTTGGTTGGCTTTGGTTTTTTTTTTAGAAAAAAGAGCTGTTTGGGTGTTACCGTCTCCTTCCAGGTCATCCGTCTCGTCGGCCCAGCTGACGGGTTTGGGGATGTAGGTGGGGCCGCCGCCGCCGCCCCCGTCCTCCGCCAGGAAATCCGTCAGGGTCAGGGTCTTGCCCTTCTTGTTCTTCTTCTTGGCTGGGGGGCAGAGAGAGGGACGGGGGTGAGCGACCCCCCCTGGGTTTGGGGTGGCCGGGGCCGTGGGGACGTGGGCAAGAGCCACCACAAGCCATTGGGACATGGGCATGAGCCGTCCTGACGTGCCCCATGAGCCACCAGGGTGTGGGCACGAGCCATCCAGATGTGTCACAGCCATTGGGATGTGGGCTCGGGCCACCCAGGTGCCCCACGGGCCACCACAATGTGGACATGGGCCATTAGGACATGGGCACTGGCCATTCAGATGCCCCATGAGCCACCAGAACATGGGCACGGGCCATCCAGATGCCCCACAAACCACTGGGACATGGGCACAAGCCCCCCAGATGTGGCACGGACCACCAGAACGTGGGCACGAGCCACCCAGAGGCGCCACAAGCCACTGGGACACGGGCATGAGCCATCCAGACGTGCCCCATGGGCCACCACGATGTGGGCATGGGCCACTGGGACATGGGCACGAGCCATCCAGATGTGCCACAGGCCACCAGGACGCAGGCACAAGCCATCCAGATGTGCCACGGGCCACCAGAACACTAGCATAAGCCACCCTGATGCCCCATGGGCCACCGTGACACGGGCACGAGCCATTGAGATGCCCCATGAGCCACCAAAACATGGGCACGGGCCATCCAGATGCCCCACAAACCCCTGGGCACGAGCCATCCAGATGTGCCACAGGCCACCAGGATGCAGGCACGGGCCATCCAGACATGCCATGGGCCACCATGACACGGGCACGAGCCATCCAGATGCCCCACAAACCACTAGGACATGGGCACGAGCCACCCAGATGTGGCACGGGCCACCAGGACACGGGCACAAGCCACCCAGATGCCCCATAGGCCACCGGGACGTGGGCACGGGCCATCCAGATGTGCCATGGGCCACCAGGACATGGGCATGGGCTATCCAGATGCCCCGTGAGCCACCAGGACAAGGGCACAAGCCACCCAGATGTGCCACAGGCCATCGGGACGTGGCCACAAGCCACCGAGATGTGGCACGGGCCACCGGGATGCTGGCACAAGCCATCCAGATGTGCCAGGAGCCATAAGGATTCAGGCACAAGCCTCCCAGATGTGGCATGAGCCATTGGGACATGGCCATGAGCCACCCAGATGTGGCATGAGGCAGGGGGATGTTGGCATGGGCCATCCAGATGTGCCACAGGCTATCGGGACATGGGCCATCCAGATGTGCCACGGGCCACTGGGCCATGGGCAGGAGCCATCCAGGTGTGCCACAGGCCATCGGGACGTGGCCACGAGCCACTCAGATGTGGCACAGGCCACCCAGATGTGGTATGGGCCACCGGGATGCTGGCACAAGCCATCCAGATGTGCCAGGAGCCATAAGGATTCAGGCACAAGCCTCCCAGGTGTGGCATAAGCCATTGGGACGTGGGCATGAGCCACCCAGATGTGGCACAGGCCACTGGGACGTGGGCACGAGCCACCCAGATGTGCCATGGGCCACTGGGACGTGGGCACGAGCCACCCAGATGTGCCACGGGCCATGGGAAGGAGCCATCCAGATGTGGCATGGGCCACTGAGATGTGGGCACGAGTCACCCAGATGTGCCATGGGGCAGGGGGATGTTGGCATGGGCCATCCAGATGTGCCACGGGCTCTCGGGCCATGGGCCATCCAGATGTGCCACAAGCCACTGGGCCATCGAGCCACGGGCAGGAGCCATCCAGATGTGCCACAGGCCATCGGGACATGGCCACGAGCCACCCAGATGTGGCATGGGCCACCCAGATGTGGTATGGGCGATCAGGACATGGCCATGGGCCATCCAGATGTGCCACAGGCCACTGGGATGCTGGCACAAGCCATCCAGATGTGCCAGGAGCCATAAGGATTCAGGCACAAGCCTCCCAGATGTGGCATGGGCCACTGGGACGTGGGCACGAGCCACCCAGATGTTCCATGGGCCATGGGAAGGAGCCATCCAGATGTGCCATGGGCCACTGGGATGCGGGCAGGAGCCATCCAGATGTGCCACGAGCCATAAGGGGTCAGGCACAAGCCTCCCAGATGTGCCATGGGGGCACGGGCCATCCAGATGTGCCACGGGCCACTGGGATATGGGCAGGAGCCACCCAGATGTGGCCCAGGCCACGGGGACACCGCCACGGGCCACCCAGATGTGCCACAGGGGGCTACTTATTTTGGGGGGAGGAGAAAGCCCCCCCCCTTTCCACCCCCGGCAGCGGGGCACGGTGCCAGGAAGGCTGGGATCCCTTAACGAAGACGCCTTAACAAACCCCCCCCCAACTCGGGAAGGGAGATTTTACCCCCCAAAAAATGTCACCTTCACCCCCAAAACCTCACTTTTACCCCCAAAACCTCACCTTTACCCCAAAAACCCCTCACTTTTACCCTCAAAACCTCACCTATACGCCAAAAACCCTCACTTTTACCCCCCAAAACCTCACCTTTACCCCCAAAAACCTCACCTTTACCCCCAAAAATACTCCCAGGTAGAATTCAGGGGGCTCAGCCCCCCCCCATGACATTTTAAGTGACATTTTGGCAGAAAAAGCCGGGGGGGGGTTAAAAGCTGGCGCCAGGCCCCCAACTAATGACTCCTGCAAACACACACGAGCTCTTTATCTTCATTAAAAATAATTAATAAAGTCCGGGAGCGCCGGGCCTGGCGCAGATAATCCCCAGCCGGGC